TGCTCAAGATCAAAGAGAAGAAGAATTACAGGTTCTTATATTGTTAAAATATAAACAATTGTTTAATAGTAAATTAACTGTTAAATCTATAGAAGTTTCTATAGGTGTTCATAAAAATTATTTAAATCCTACATAATAAATATTTTATGATTACAGGTGTTCTGGTCATATATTGTGGGTATGTTAACCAATCTGGATTCATTGCCATTAGATAGAATTCATCAAATGTTGAAAATGTTTGCTACACAAGGAACTGGTGTGGATTGTAGTCTTACACAACTCCGTCTTTTCCTTGACGAAAAAGTTAAACAACATCTTTTGATTTTCACAGGAGGTCGTTATAAACTATCTAAATAATGAAATTTTTATGTCACAGTTCTGTTTACAATAAGTAAATTTTTTTTTTTTTTAAGTTGTTTTATTTTCCTTTAAAATGTTCAATTATTGATTTTGAGTATAGTCTATAGATACATTGAGTAAGAATATACTGACTGCTCATCAATATGAATGAATTAACTGTGTGTTAACTCATTGTTAAACTAATGAGTGTTATGATCCATTGTTGTTTGTTTCTTATGATACAGTGGCGTGGCGAAGAAGGTAATTGAGAGATGGCCGCCTCTTTTAATATGGTTTTAAAATTAGCTAAGAGGGGCAATTTTCCATTGTAATAGTTTTTTATAGGACACTGTTAAGAGGGAGATAGAAACCCAGTGTTTATTGTTCAAGAATAGGTGCTCGTAGGTGGGTGGATGGTCATAGATGAATATATTTTCCTCTGAAAATTCTTTAGCTCACCACACCTCTGGTAATTTACTATCTAAATTATTGGTTTGATTTTATTACATACATATATTATAAAATATTATGATTATCTTTTATTGCAAAAATATGTAATTACGGATTTAACATATAATATATTATGTATTTTAATATTTTATAAACTGAATCATTAGGACCTTTTTGATTYAGACACAGTTATATCAACGTGTTCACATCAATCATCAATTAACTATACAAAATTAAATAAGTCCATGTTAAATCAGATCTATCGTCTGAACTTTATGTATGACAAARTACCCTTTCATGAATCTGATATGCTTCATGGATAAGATCTAGATTTTATATAACTACTATGTGTAAACTGTAAAGTATGCCACACGGACTTATAGTTGGTTAACTAGATATGTAATTGAAATGTACAAATACTTTAAATTTATACATGGTTTATTTAAATCTTTGTCCAAACCATATTGTATAGATCTCTACATTGGGGTCCACAGTATGTAAATTATCTTTAGAGGACGTTATACCCACATATGTTGCCTCCATCTTAGACACGTGCTACATAGAAGAAGCAACAATATTATAATATAATATATTTTACAAATGTAATATTTTTATTTAGAGCATATTAGAATCATGCATACTTATCTTTAATTTTTGAAAACCTTAAACATTGTAACATAGAATGGCAGTCATAAAACATTATAATAATATTATTTTTTTTTTAATTTCTATCATGAATTCATAATATATTGATATTATGAACATTAATGTTATGAATGTTATGATGTTTAAATTTGCTTATACRTTTTACAACTACCCTATCTAATCTTTACCATTCTCCGAAACTTATCATAAATTATTAAGTTCTGTGGTGATAAAGATATTGATCCTATTTGGGATTTATTTTGTGATAACTAGAACTAGTGTCTAGTACAACCAAAGAATAACGTACAACTACTGATACTGCGCGASCGCGGATTTAAAAATTCAATTTATTATTCTCGTTTCTCGAATACTGCATTCTGCATTACTAACATTTATAATTTATATAGCACCTACGTCCTACATGACTGCATACATATTTTAATATCTTCTTAAACGTTTATTTCACAAAAGCGTTTGCTAACTTTTTTTTGTTGCTTTCATATGTCTAAAAATTTAAAATGAACAAAATACACTTGACCAACATTTCAAACAATGAAATATTTACTTATTCTACTATTTTGATTAAAGGATCTGTTGACACACTCAATGTATCAAATATTATACTTAAACATTACTCAAACAATGGTAAACAATTAGCAGAATCTAGCTGGGCAGTTAATAAAAATAAATTTAAAATAATAATAGAATTAAAAGTTGGYGATAATATGTTGGTTTTTAAATTCGCCAATGAAGTCCTACATACAAAATTAGTATACAAACAAAGAGTTACTAACTATACTGTGTGTCCGGTTTATGTAATTTGTGCTGATCATGATGGTAGATTCCAGGTAAATTCTAAGCTCTAACTTTTTTTAACAATTTTTAGATGTATTTATTTGTTTTTTTATTTTTAGGCCCCTGTAGATCATGATAATTCTGTTCAAAACGCTTGCACTAAAATAACATTATGCTCCAAATTAATTCAAATGTTGACAGCTGAAAAAATGTATGAAAAAGGCTTTGGAAAGAAAACATTTAAAGTTGAAAAAGAATGCCGTATAATTAAAAGTTCTTTAACAAGACGTACAGTATTTAATATGCATCCTGAAAAATTATGGGAATATATTGCCAGAGAGTTAACTACTGGCCAAAGTTCTAAAAATCAAAAATATTTAGCTTTCCTATCATGTACTTATTGGGATGGACAGAATTTACATGGTCATGTTGCATTGGGTGGTGGTGGACTGGCATTATTTGGAACAGGTTGCCTTTACACTTGGCCTAGTAAGCTAGAGGAAGTTTTACCATGTTTCATGAACATGGCAAAAGTTGATACTGGCACATTGTTGGATGATAGCTGTTTCAGGTACTTTTAATTGTGGTATTTATGTTTTATATATTTTTTCATTGTTAAGAAAAATGTTAAATTGATTGATTTTATAGAGGGAATTTTGGTGGATGCTTTAGCACAACCTTAGGTTCTGTATGGCATGAATTGGGACATACATTTGATTTAGGCCATTCAAAATATGGCATAATGGGACGAGGATTTGATAATGTTCATTTAATTTTTACATTGGATAATAAAAACATTGCTCAAGAAATAAAGCCTGCCAATAACGGATATATTATATGTATTGAAAATTATTCAAACACAGTTAATATGAAGGATGATATGTCTAATAATAACAATACAAATGAACATGAAACAATAGATGAGTATGATTCAAAACATATAATATGTTGGTCTATGGGATGTGCATCAATACTTTCATTTCATAAGTATATTTTTTTTATTGTAAATACATGTATGTACTATTTTAATTTTAATTATGATTTCAGATGGTTTAATGATTTTAATGAAGAAAACAACAATGAACACACAATTGATTATGTAGCAAAAAGGTTATATCATTGAAATATATAGATAATAAAAAAAAATTATCAAACATTAWTAATTGTATTCAATTTATAGAAATTTATTGACTTCAAGAAATGGCATAAGAGTGGTCCAATTAAGGAGAGAGGATGGTCTCGTCATGCATTCTTGGGAATTTGTTAAAAATAATAACAAACGTACATTCATTCTTCCAGTGCAGTTAGCAAATAATGGTACTACTATTATTGCTGAAGATTCTTATGGAAATATATTAAAGTATTTACTGTAACTTGCACTAAATGTTGTGTATAAGTTTTAATTAATAGTTGAATAACATTTTCAATTTAGTACCTAATTTAAATTAATTTAGATTAATTTTTATAAGATTATTTTTACAGTTAAATTAAATTCATTAACTTATACCTATTTAACTATTTTATCAGTATACTGTTTCAAAATCTGAACAAGGAATATATCATAGACTTTGCATTGTGTGCCATTATATAATTTTATATTTAACTAAGTTAATATTTGATCAATTTAAAGTAAACTTTTATAATTAAACCTTGATCACAATTAAATTCAATACATTATATTTTTACAAGTAGGCTAGGTTAGATTAAAAAGTCTTACAGAGATCTCAATAATTTAGATTGTTTAATTTTATGTATTAATATAAATAATAGATTTAACTAATTATTTTTTTATATAAATAGCATCCAGAGCTTGGAATTTAGTATGCTAAAATATATAATATTCCATAATTTTGCAAAAAAAAAATGGACCTTTTCTGTTAATTCACTACTACTATTTTTTTTTTCCGTTTTTTTTTTTTTTTTATATATGACTATATATATGAATGGAATGATTCACGGAAATGTGTTGATAAGTTAGATCAAGCCTTTTGTAGGAGTGCCACTCATCAGTAATATTATTGTCGTGCCTGCAGCAACATGTTCAATAATAATTGGCAACAATGTACTTACTGATCTGTTGGKAACAGAAACTAGAAAAGTTTCTTTGGCTTATTAATTTTATAGATCCTAATACTTTGGCTCACACTAATACTATTAAGAGTTCTTGGAACAAAATAAAATCTCGAAATAAAAAACAGTGGGCTACTTACYGATTAATGCTRAACAACTACTTGGTCGAGTACATGTGGTTTAAACGTTATGGTCCTAATAATTTATTTGAAACAATACTACAACATTTTGCACACTTCATGCCTCCAAAATCAAAATTATATAATGATCTAAAAAAAAAACGGAGAAACCAAAAAAAGTGGTACACTAAATAATCAGTATTTTACATTAATAAGCAAATAATTTTTGTATATGCATGATAATTCAAAAAGTTAATTTTTTTTAAAGCAATACATTATCTATTTTATATTATACATATACAGGGGTTTTCATTTTTATTGAAACCTATTAATAATTATTTTTACCCATGAAAATAAAAATAGTGTATAAAAAGAAATAGTGTGGTTATATCAAAATATGATATATTCATTAAAATTTTTATTTTAAAAATGTCAGCTATTATAAATTAGTTGTATAAGCTTWTGTAAAAGATAATTTTGTAAGTTTAAGATGGATGTACCTGTTTTTAAGTGAATTTGTGTTAAACCAGATTTTGAATATGTTTCTTTCTAAATAATGTATTATCAAGATCCAGGCTCTCACTATGTTAAATTAATTCTTATATTCAAAGAGTTGTTTTTTTTCTATTTGTCATTAGTTGTTAATATACTATGAAAATGTATATATAACTTGTGAATGTTATTAAAGAAATAAAATTAATATTTAGAAAATTTTAATAAATTATTATTATGATAAGGTAGAAATAAATGATAATTAACTATCAAAGTAATTTAGATTATTGTATAAAAATTACTTTTAAGATTTTTTTTTAATAACTTGTTACCCAATATTAAGTATAAAATATAATTTATATATTAAGTAGTGCTATGGACTGCGTCCCTCATTGTCTAGTTCATGGTCAACTAGGTACCAGCTGAACCAAGATAGGGTAGGGTGCGACCAACTTWGTAATTATAGGAGAGAAAGCATTTCGTGGAAATCATTAACGTTAGGGCAACACGAAATCATGTGGTTAGACGACAATAAAAGATCATTGATAGGTGTGCACAGGATGTGGGGTTATGCATCAATACAAAAGTTTCAAGAACCAATGTTATAATGTAATATAATATATATTTTTACATAATAATAATATAAATTATC